TTTTTGCATTTGCTTCAGTTTATTGTTCACTTCCTAACTCAGTCCACATGTAATGTCAACCTTGCACAGGTCACTTACATGTATTATACAGGCCGTTTGGAAGTATACAATGAAAACTTTCTTGTTGTAAGTACTTCTTGGAAATTAAATTTTTTTATACATTTCGATGTGAGTTTTTAATATCTTTATTGTTTTTTATGTTGTGTATTTAAAATAGACATTTAAAATTGAGATGTCACTTGTTTTAACCCTTGCTTGATATGCCATGATTATAATAACATTGTTCACCTACAATACATCATTCAGCAATAATATTTTCCTAATTTTTTTTGTCCTGACAATGGAAACCTAACTCCTAATGTGTCTGTCACTACATGCCATGAAAGAAAATGCAAAAGCATATGCCAGAATGGAAGATTGATATTATCAGTCTGTCATGATCATTCTAGCATAGCCAAATTGATCACTTGCAAGTGCAGAGGCATGGTAGGGTTTGCTTGCGAATGCATCATGGTCCTGGTGATTTAATTGTATTACATATGCAGCCAAGTTGTTATATGCAAATGAGAATGTTATAGGAAAATGCTATCTCTTCAAATCTATATGTTCATATGCTTTTCCGTGAATGTCGCTTGACACAATTCTTTCTAACTTTTGTGATGGAGCAGGCTGATCAAAAGCTGACATATGCCTTGATGCATTGCAGTCCTAGGAAAGAGGCTAACAAAAGGTATGATTAAGCATATTATATTATATATTCCTCTCATACATTCTACTTGCCGCATGAAAATGTTAACGCATGAGCAATTTCGATAATACATAAATAAATTTCTAAGGTCAGGTCTATATTCTTATAACAGGATTTTTTGACAAATTTTATTCTTTCTGGCACTGTCATGAATAGGATGCTGTCATGAGTATTTCACAAAATATTTGAGGAACCAAACTGTATGTCATTGTATACTAATTTGTGGAATTTACTCTTAAATAGGATGATTCTGAAATATCTCATTCCTGTGAAGCTTTCAATTGGTATCTTGCCTAAACAGTGGCTTATAGAGAAGTACAATCTGATTGAGGTACAATTCTTTAACATCTCATACTGTTTCTTCATTGTCAAATTGCTTATGCCTAAAGAAGACTTTAAAAGTTTGAAAGTTTGATGTGTTCTTTCTCCCTTAGTTGGCTCTACTCTTTATTTTAGATATGACCATGGTAACTGAGCATTAGGACACAACGGTTCTAGCAATCTAAAGCATTTTCATGCCCATGAACTACAATTATACTACATGACCTTCATAATCGTGAAAATTGCCAACAGCCATTATGGTAAAAAAACCATTCATTTGTCTGAAAATTTATTGTCCTTTGAATCTTCAATGAAATAAGAACCAATTGTAAAAGAAACTATCAAGAATTTAATTGAAATTCTACATCAAACTATTTCTTGAACATGCACCATAAGCAGTTAACAACTTGTCAGACATACACATCAATCATTACATAGTAAAACACTAACTCACATTTCAATATAAACATACAAGAAATAAGATTAAACACCTAAATAAATCTTACAAAGTAACTTATAGCACAAGAAATAAAAATGTGCATCATTCTATTATTCCAAAAGAATCAATAATAACAAGCTAAGGACACATATTTTAATATTATATAAGCAATTCATAAAATACATAAATTTTGATATTGACATAACACTAAATTTTTTTTGTTAAATTACAGAAAGATATTTTTAAAGTTTCCTATTCAAGACAACAGATCACTTATTCCAAGTTCCAAGTAATAACTGAAACACATCATCAAGGTTTAAGATCTTGGTTCGATGTCAATTTCTATCGGTGGTCAGACCAGTACTGTACTATTAGCGACATGGGACTGATACTAAGTATGGGTTGATGCTGCTCGGACCAAATAGAAAGAAGAACTGAAAGAGGAAGATGACGATGATGAGGATGAGGAGATGACGACACATATCGGATCGGACGAGACAGCGATGGTGACACGAGGAGACAATAGCAGGGAGGGTGAGGGGAGGATACGAATACCAAGGTAATGACAGAGGAGGCAGAGGCTGTGGTCAAGGTGACAAAAAAGCAAGAGAAGAGGGAAACTACTATCGGCAGTTGTGTAGGTGTCTGCTGCTGTTTTCAGCACCCATATTTTAAAAAATAAAAGTTCTCTACTTCGAGTTAGGCTAATTCACATGGTCCATGTGCAGGTCAACAGCTGTTGAAAGATGCCCATATATTTTAAAAAATTAAAATTAAAAAGTTCCTCCGTTTTGTATTGAACCAAGTGAAATTGCTCAGGCCATGTGTTGGTCCCTGTCAGACCAGTAAATACTTAGAGAGAGAGAGAGAGAGATTAGTTTGTGATTTGATTGCTTATCAATCAATCGAATTAAGATTTAGGTCTAGTTAAGTTCAATCAAACTGATCAGGTATCACAAAGGAACTACATGTAATTATGCTATTTGCTCGTATAGAGAGCTATGGTTGTTCTACATGTTATAGTTTGTTTTGGAAAGCAGTGCATTTAGAAGAGTGCATTCACTTGTAGTTGATTTATTTGATATATTATTAGTATGAATGGTTCACGCACAGTTACTCACAGGAGTACAGATCGAACTGGCTATATGGTGAAAAATTCATTTATATTATTAACAGGAATTGTGATTCTACAGAGACTAAATCTTCTCACATAGTCAGCTGTGGGATCATGAGAATTCTTAGAATGACACAATGGTTTTGGTGTTGAAATGCTCTTTTAGTTCCTTATAAATCAATGGTTTTGTATGTGTTGGAATTTCAGAAGTATCACTTTCCTTGATTGATCTTTGTACTTTTGCAGTATGGTGAAGTTGTTAATGCAATTAAAAAGGGAGATCTAAGACTACTCAGGCAAGCTCTTCGGGAGCACGAGGACAGGTGTGTTTCATACTTATTATTTCGGAAAAACTCTTGGTAATGGAATTCCCACTTTTAATTTTTCTGGACCATCAGATTCTTAAGATCAGGTGTTTACCTTGTTTTGGAGAAGCTGGAGCTCCTGGTGTATCAAAGACTGATAAAGAAAATGTAAGTTCGCCCTGATACTCCATATAAACTTATGGTTTCATGACCGTATCAAGTCTCAATAGCAATTGCTCTTCCACAGTTATGTACTTCAAAAACAGAAGGATCCTAGTAAAGCACATCAAGTAAAGTTGGAAATCATAGTGAAAGCCTTGAAATGGCTTGAATTGGACATGGACATCGATGAGGTACTCCTCAACTGTCCTTTTCATGTTCCATTTGATATTTATCGTAACGCCTTTCCTTGCTGATCTAATGCCCTTCTTTGTAATTTGTAGGTGGAGTGTATAGTCGCCATTCTTATCTATAAGAATCTTATCAAGGGTTACATTGCCCACAAAAGCAAAGTTGTTGTCCTCAGCAAACAAGATCCATTCCCCAAATTGAATGGCAAGCCTATCGGTTCATAGTCGATCATGAGTTGCTGAACTAACTTATTTTTTACATAGTAATTCTGTGCCTACAATTTTAGTATAGAAGATTTAATAATCAGGTCAGCCCTTCAACTGGTGATTTTACATGTATTTTATTTTCAGAATTGGATTCGTCTTGACCCCCTTATATGTTGGATGAAATTGACGAGTCTACTGAGCAAGAAGAAGGAATTACTGACAAGATATATCGCTATTTAATTTCCAATTTCTCCGATTAGTTGTCTTTAATGCCAATCTTATTTCAGTAGAGGTAAAATTACAAGTTAGAGTTGAAAATCTAATATGTATTATTTTTGAAAAGATTGCTTATATTCTAAAAATATTAGGAAGATTTTTTTATATTTTTAATTGTTTTTCATAAGTATTTAGTTTACAGGCTTATATGATAAAATAAAATATAGAGGAGCGATATGAGAATTATTAATTTTAGGGGTAAATTCGTATGTAATGTGGTCTATAAAAATTGCATGGTGTTCACTTTTGTCATTAAGGTGATTCTGTATTTGTTGGTTATTTTCCAGTAATTAATATAAGCCATTTTAGTGATCATATGAGACATCATAGCTCATATTAAAGTCATCGAGATTGTCGACGAAGAAAAGTATCTTTTTGATTTATTGGACAAGTGTAAGGACAGGGACCAAATTGGTTCCTTGAGATAAAAGCCTTCTCTCCTTTACGCTTCTGGAAGATGTTGGAAAGTTCAACGTAGCGATGCTGCCGTTTGCAAGTCGACGTTCTTCTTGAGATGCTCTTTATTATTTAATTAGATAAAATATATTATAAATATAATTATCAGATAATAAAAAAATAATTATGATAAAATTCCTTAATATACAAAACATACAATAAGATCCGACATCGACGCACCACGTGCGTCACCCACCCCCAACAAGTAAGCCGTCCACGATCTGAATGAACTCGGCGTCGCCAAAGTTGGCGCACACGTCGAACTACTTTTCGGTTTCAGACGTAATGATTGGACTCTTCTGAGGCTTATGACACGTTGTTGTTGACGGGGGCCCACTTTTCGTTTGGATTTTGAATCGGTATTTCAATTTTACATCGCGCAAAATAGCGTAACAAATTTACACACGAAGCTTTGATACGCTGTGCATGGTTGCGATCATCGACGTCCATCTTTCGCGGTCCGAATCGTAACGACCACGTGGCGGAGCAGCTGGCCCCCGCAGTTTCCTCACGATTCGAACCCGAGCTGTTACATCTTGCACGCGTGGACCCCACGACCTTTCCTTCCTCGAAGCCGCTCCCCCCCACAGCTACAACGACCGCGTGACTACGTTAATTTTATTGCAGGAGCGAAAGGTCGTAGTAGAAACGGAACACGCTTTGGCGTCGTCAAACCCGGACAAAAGCAACGCGACGATGGGGAACGTAAATGACACCGCGTCACCCCCCCCCTTTCTCTAGTCCTTCTTTTGTTTTACAGCCAGTTTGGCCTATAAAGAACGATGACGACGACGATGACTCCAGTCCAACAAGGAAACCATGCCCTCCTCTCTCCCCCTCTCGCCCTTCCTTCTCTTCTTCTTCTTTCTCGCATCCCCCACCGACGCCTTCTTTTCCTCCCTCCTCGCGGCCACCGGCGATGCCCCTCGGTTCGCTGAGGCCCCGCACTTCCGCAACGGCGTCCGATGCCCGTCGATTTCCGCTGGCGCCGGCCGCGCCGCCGCCTGCGACCCCTCGCATGTCCACATCGCCATGACCCTCGACGCCCAGTACCTTCGCGGCTCCGTCGCCGCCGTCCACTCCATTCTCAAGCACAGCTCCTGCCCCGACACCCTCTTTTTCCATTTCTTCGCTCCCGCCGGCGGCCGCGTCGGCGGCGATGACCTTTCCCGCCTTCTTGGCTCCACCGTTCGCTCCGTCTTCCCGGCCCTCCGATTCGAGGTGTACCCCTTCCGGGCGGAGCTGGTCAGTGGCCTCATCTCCTCCTCCGTCCGCGTGGCCCTCCAGAACCCGCTCAACTATGTCCGCGCCTACCTCGCGGACCTGATCGACTCCTGCGTCCAGCGCGTCGTCTACCTTGACTCTGACGTCATCGTCGTCGATGACGTTCGCCGTCTCTGGGACGACGCCGCCGCCCGCCTCGACTCCGCCGCCGCCGTCGTCGCCGCTCCGGAGTACTGCCACGCCAACTTCACCCGCTACTTCGCGCCCACCTTTTGGGCGGAAGGCGGGGCGCAGGCCTTCGCCGGGCGGCGTCACCGGCCCTGCTACTTCAACACCGGCGTGATGGTGATGGACCTCCGCCGGTGGCGGGCCGGAGGGTACCGCCGCCGGATCGAGCGGTGGATGGAGGTGCAGCGGGAGCGTCGAATCTACGAGCTGGGCTCGCTGCCGCCCTTCCTGCTGGTTTTCGCCGGGGAGGTGGAGGGTTTGGAGCACCGGTGGAACCAGCACGGTCTCGGCGGCGACAACCTCACCGGAGAGTGCCGGAGGCTCCACCCCGGCCCAGTCAGCCTGATGCACTGGAGCGGAAAGGGGAAGCCATGGGATCGCCTAGACGCCGGTAACCCCTGCCCGGTCGACCAACTCTGGAAGCCATACGACCTCTACGTCCGGCCATCCTCCGGTACCTCCTCCATCGCCACCACATGAACCTCCTCCTACCTTTCTTCGTCTGGTAGCGTCTTATCACATTCGGATTCTTTGTTCCCTTAAATTCCATTAAGAGCGGCGGCGAAGGCAGCTCGCCACCGCCGGCGGTGACGATGTACAGATGAGAACGGACACATAGAAACGATGCATCGGCTCATTAGGTCGGTTCACGGGGTTCAAAGATTGATTTGAATCTCTCATCACATTCCTTCCTTCCTTCGATTCAATTTTTGTTATTTGCTCATTAAATTCCTGTATAAAAAAGAAGATTCAATTGATATATCGATCCACCATTCATTCGTTCTACCTTAGTATATGTCTGTGTTGTCGTTCTTCTCCTTTCTCTCTGTGCATGATGGAAAATGAGGCAGGAATGACTACATGGTTGGTGAGGGGAAGAATCCGATAGATGATGCTTTCCCTTTCCAGCACATACTGTTGGGACAGCCTGGAGATGTCTGGACTCAACTCATAGTATCTGAAGGTGAGACAAGCCAGCTTGGAAGAGAACAAATAATAGAAGTTTGTTTTCTAAGAAAAGAAAATAAAAGAAAATTAGGACATGAGCTTGCATCAATATATTCTCAAAATTAGGCATAGGATAAATAATATTAACCTCAAATCGCCTATAGACAGATGCTAATTTAATTGTTTCCAGATAGATTAATTACCTCAACTAAATAAAACTTAGTTGTTTTCTTTCCGAATGCTATAGTAAAACTAAAATTTATTAATTAAAAAAAATAAGTTTGTGTCAATCAAATATAAACATGTTTTTAATAAATATTAAATAAGTTAAAATATTATATAAAATCTGTAAGTAATTTGTTAAAACAATTATATTGAATTAATATTGGATGGTGGTGGCGATGACAGCAACAAGCAGTTACTGACCAGGTCGAAGTCAACGAAACAAAGATGCGACGTGTGCATCGTTGGATCTGCTTTAAGATCTGCATTGGCCAATTCCGTAGGATCCAGTCCAATCGTGCGCTTTATGTTGCCTTATCCAGTCAATTTGTACCACGTGGTCTCCTTCACCCAAGTCTAGATGCTTCTGGAATTTACGGTGATGGCCTCCGACAGCAAACAGTCTCGTACAAGACAAGTTATGCATCATATTTGATGGTGACACTAATGAACGCATTAGTCGAATGAATTCCCTCATATTTTTAAGAGATGAATTCCCCAAGAATCTTCTCCCATTTGGATCCCTCATTAGATCTTCGATATCGTTTAAATAAAATATTTATTAATTTAGGAAGCATCTTTCCTAATTTTATAATATTTTAAATATTTTACAGAAACTAATTTAATAGACTATTAAGTACAAAAAAAAGATTATTTGGTAAAACGAATATGAAACATTTATTCTTCAAATAAGGTAAGATATTTATTTTTGCTTATATAAATAATCAAAAGATTATTTGATGGAGGGAGTCTTTCTTATCATATTAATATTATTATTTTCTTGTTCTCCTCACATCACATCACTTTAAGCGTCGAAATTTTCCATAATTAAGTTGGAAAATGATATGACTTTTCGCCAAGGCACCATTCGAGGTGACTAAAGTTGGACTTCCTTCCCATTACGATGTCTGATTGGGTAATTAGATTACATCGCGAGGGTCTTTTTCGTAATCTGACGCAATGGATGTGTGCTTCGGCCCTCGCAGAAATCGGGGGAGGGGGAGAACTCTGTGGGGGCAAAAATCTTTCCTTTTCGCCATATTAGGGTTTTCTTTATAAAAGGGAAGAAGAGGGAAACGGGCGGCTAATACCATGGGCTACGGCGCGATGGCTAACGGTGCTTCCGTTCCTGCCTTGATCTCGCACGACGCCGCCAAGAAAAAGAGGGTGAGAATAGATTCAGATCACTTCTCCCGAAAAAATACAGGGAATAGTTTGTTGAAATTGTTCTGATCGCCCGCTTAATGGTTTGCGTTTCAGACGAATCGCTCGGCGAAGTTGAAGCAGTGCAAGCTTGATGTGCGCCGCGAGCAGTGGCTTTCTCAAGGTTTGGTTCCCGCATACATTTTTCCCTTTTTTTTAGATCACTCCTTTGATTCTTCTTCTTCTTCTTCTGGTGTTGGGATCAGTCAGGAGCAAGGATGATTGCAAGATTTTGAGCACGGCCGCCTCTTCTCCTGTCGACCATTCGCCGCGGCCTCGGGCTGATGAGAACGACGCGAAGACGAGGATGAGAGAAGAAGATGCGACCACGCATGGGAGCCGTGATTCGGACTTCCCAAATCCCCACGTTTCCCGGGGTAACAGAACGAGTATAAGCAGCGGAAGCAGCATGGAGTCCAGCTCACCAAGTGTCAGCGATGACGACGAGGAGGCAGCGGATCAGGCAAGGGGCGAAGGCGGGGTCCTTGATGATTGGGAGGCGGTTGCCGATGCCTTGTCAGAAGCCAATGATTGCGACAACCACGACCCGGATCCTGTAGTGCCGGCGGCTGTTCAGCCTGCTGCTTCTGCTGGCATGCCAAATGAGCCTCCTCGTGATGGGGGCACCACGAAGCCGGAGCCCATCCGGAGCACCTCCAGAGCTTGGAGGCCGGACGATGCGTCTCGGCCCCGGAGCCTTCCTAGTATCTCGAAGCAGTGGAGCTTCCCATCTAACACACAACGGCACGGCTGGGCTTCCCAACAGAAGGGCATCCTTTCATTTCCGTGCCCGTGCCCGTGCCCGTGCCCTATCTGTTATGAGGACTTGGATTCCACGGACTCGAGCTTCTTCCCCTGTTCGTGCGGTTTCCGTCTCTGCCTCTTCTGCCACAAGAGGATCCTCGAGGCCGATGGGCGTTGCCCTGGTTGCAGGAAACAATACGACAACACGTCAGGTGGAGCGCTGGCCATGAATACTGTTGGCACACCGCCAATTCCACCGTGGTTGTCCCGTTCTTTTAGCATGAGTTCAAGATCTTGGAACAGGGAACATTAGATATGCAAGTTGCTACTAGTGTCTAACTATTTGAGAAAATCTTGATCTTTCAAATAGAATGATTTGTGAATATGAATCAGAATCTGTACAATGGTATCAAAAAGGAACTCGAGTCTTTGAGTTGCTATTTATAAAGATCCATAGTCATATGTGTCAGTGTCAAGAACCTCTGTTGATACTGTGGAGGACATGAATAAGAGTTATATTAAACTGCCAGAATTTGATAACCAATGTTATTGTTTAAGCTCGTTCAGTCATTTGTTCTCTGTTAATATTAATGTTAATGTTATCAAACCCTGTGTTCTCTGTTCAGTCCTGTGTATGATGTCATTTATGCATAATTGATCTTTATATTTTTCCCTCTAATCGTAGAAATTTGCTACCTTGCAGCAGATTCAGTTTTCACATTAATTTTATTTGGTAAAGTGGTCCCTGCGATTCATTTTCCTAGTTAGAAAAAGGTGTCTTTTGCTTTGTTTGGTCTTTTTTACTTATGTCTATAGCCATACGCTATCGTATTTTGGATAATCTGTCTCAAGTGAGTCATTCATGAAAGCTTACCTGGTAAAATTTTGCATGTCAGCGATCTTATCTTCTGGATTTTGAAGGATGTCATGAAGCTCCATGTTGCTTCTTGAGGTATACCACTTTTGATATTGTCTTTACCATGTCATCGAATTGAACTGACTTAGATTTCTTCTTTCATGTATTTGTAATGGTAGCGATTTCCATTCATGCAATGTTGTTGACATTTTGGCAGGAATATTGTGCTGTTTGAGTTTCCTGGCCTAGTAATTTCGTTTTTAACTTTAGTTCTTGATCTGACTGCTTGTTTCTGTTTATTGTAACCAGATATTGATCATCCAGGAACTGTCTGCTTGTAGTGTATTGTTTTATTGAAAAGAATGACATATTTGATTTAGACTTATTCAGCTTACAAATCTGAAAGTTAGTTGTTGCTAAATGTGAACCATATAGAATAGAGAACGAACCAAGTTTGACTGAGAAATTATGAAGATATTATAACGATATGTACGTATACGTGGGGCACACAAGGTGTTGAAGGCCTTGATTAAACTTTATGTTTCATACTGAGGATTTATCTTAGCAATTTTAATACTGAAAAGCAAGTAAAATGTGTATATATATTTTTTATTTGACAAAAAGGCTTATGCGCTAGGGTTGTTCATTATTGGATGACCAAAGCAAATAAAGAAAAAAAAGGAAAGAAAGCTAATTTCTTTAATAAATAAAGGTGTTGCTAGGGTGTTTTAGAGTGATTATGAGGCCAGAAAATGCTCTTGATCATGGTGGGAGTGGTAAAAAGATGTGGAACCATTATTATTTTTTTCTTCATTGAATAATTTTTTATTAGTTTGTTTTTTCAAATTTTATAAATTGTCAAATGCCATTATCCTTTATAATTCTTCATCAGTTATCAAAATTGCTCAAGTAAAAGAAAAGAAAAGAAGCCAAATAAAAGGAATGAGACAGATCTTAGGCTTCATTGGAGAATTTAAGGTTTTAGGAAGGCAATACATCTTGGTCTTGATTGAAGATTTCAGGGGTTCATTGAATTATTTCATTTCTATGAGGAAGTTTTATAATAATTGAAGAATGACAAACCAAAAGAAGAAAAGATGAAATGATTGATATGTTTTGATTTATGATATGTTATTTTATTTATTGTATTCTTCTTTATTTTTTTAGTTCTTTTTTCTTATATTCAATGAGCTATAAAAAGAGGAAAATGGATTGTAATTGGAACATGAATAAATGATGAATGAATGGATGAATACTAGTTTCTTCACATCACAATATTTGTGAGTGGTGTGAGAACATATTCTTTTCTTGATGGTCTGATTTCATCATTCATGTGTGGAATATGTGAAGGTGTGAGATTTTCATTTCTGGATGTTACTCCCAGAGCTAGAGTGAGCATAGTAGTTCTTATATTTTTCTTTCATCTCAAGTACTATCTTGTTTACTCTATTTTATACCTATCCTAGAAAAAGGTTTTAGCTTATTCTAGGATTTCACAATCAATAGATTGTTTAGTGACTAGACCTTCCTATTAGGGTATTCTCTAATTCAAGGATGACCGACATGGATAAATCATAATTAGCAAGATCATTATTGAGATTGGATCAGCTTACTAGGGCATAACTGAGATTGACAGATTCAGAAAATTCGATCTATGGGATTGGGATACTTCAAGAAAATATTTAATGAAATATCAAAAAATGATATAAAATTTGTGAAAATGAGATATTTCATATTAAAAGATTTCTTAACCTGCATATTTCATTAATATTATTTTTAAATACGTGATCCTAGAATTAACACCGAAGATCAA